TCATTAAGGAAAAGAAATTATAATAAGAGTAAAATCTTTTTCTATTGTGATGGGCCACATTTCAGAGTAATTATGTCTTCCAATTTAGCAGCACCTCGTACTTCATTATCCTCTCCTAATATTTAAAGAATTTGTGTCTTGCACTTCGTCTGCACCTCATAGTTAGGTGTTACCCTTATTCCCTTTCTATAACAACGGCCTTTCGACACCCACAGCTAATCCGGAGTGTCAGACTAACACGGTAACTGCTGTATGATCACGTGTACGTGAATACCCAGAAACCACACAGCATCATCTTCGTACACACTACTTTACTATCCTTTCCATATGGAATCTGTTTAGGATTTCGTTTTGTGTTACGACAATATCAAATCATCAAACTAAATGTAGTGAGTGATTACCATTCAACATTAAAGTATTGCCATAAATCATTAAAGTGTGCGCATATGAATAATAAATATGGGTATGAATAATAAATAATTAATAATATGAATAATAAATTTAGGCTCTTTTATTATTTTTCAATATTTTTTGATATTATTATTTATAATAATTTTTTAAAACTATAGTATTAAATGGTATTGATACTACAAATGTTATAGGAAAACACAAATTTAAAAATATTTCATAGTAATTTTTTATTTAATGATTTATTAGTTAAAAATAAAGTAATTTATGTAACAATACAGTTGAAATGAATTTTAGAGTTTATATAATACAAAAATAAAATGAAATTATTGAATATAATAAAAATTATTTCAAGGTTATTCTAAAAATGATGATTATTAATATTTCAAAATTACCACTATACAAATGTGACTTTATTGGGAATTGTATTGTAGAATACCTTAGCGATATTTAGGTCAAATTTTTCAAATATTTTTTTTATATTATTCAAATGAGTTTGTAGTTCCGAAAAACTCTCATTTACTGCATCTTCTAAAACTTTCATATGCAAAGCACTATTTCCGTCTTTTTGAATGAAACATTGTAAAATCGGATAATATGCATTATACAAATTAGTACTATTGTCTAATTGATCAGAAGATAATGAGTAAATTTTAACTTCCTTGGTTACATCTATAGCTAAAATAGAGCCACTAAAATAGTTATAAATTTCAATTATGTTTGGATCATCATCAAAATGAAAAAATTGTATAAAATCTTTTACTAATTGTGTGGTTAATATCCACAGATAATCCCAATATGTAATATTCTGCTTATTATTAGTAGTTGCATAACCATGATAGATTGACATGAGACCTTTTATACGAGCATAAAATGATATTTTTACAACATCAAATAAAAATTCTCTATAAGTAAATAGTTCTAAATACTTTTTATTTTTATCAACCCACACACTCATAGCGCAAAAATATAATTGTTTTAAATTTTCTTGGTAATTCTTCCAATTAATAGCTGAACAATTTTTAAAAATCGTTATTATAGCAGATTCATTCAAAATGATATCAAAGAAAAATAGATTTTGTGGTGTATAAAAATGAACTTTATCTTCTTCTATTTCTCCGAATTTTCCTTGAATAGCCTCATCAAGGCTTTCCAATTTTGAGCCAATGCCATCAATCGATTCCATTGGCTGTTTTTTTTTATCTGTTTTAGTACCTGAGAAAAATCTTAATAACCCTTTATCTTTTTTATCTTTTCTATCTTTTTTATCTTTTTTGAGGTAATTTTTTATTTGGTCTTTAATTAAACTGATAGCATGAGAAATGCGACGTGCTTTTTCACTTATCCTATGTTGTTTATCATTTCTTTCCAATTTGCTTAGAGGTTGATTAAATATATCAATTGAATTTTAAAGTATACTAAGCTCCCATAACCACCAAATATCGTTATTTGATGGCAAACTTAATATTCGTGCGATTCGCTTGCCGAATTCTTTGAAATGCGCAATGAACTTGACAATGTTTGCTGTACTTTGGTGTACAATTATCCAATTTTCAAATATTTCTAAAATATTTTGGATTGGTTCTACAATATCTCTTGGAATTTCAAGAACATCCGCATTGATCCCATATTTAAATAATACAATATTAAATAAAGAAATGAATCCTACCTTGGCTGCTATGTTCATGTTCAAATAGATATTAAATAGATATCAAATTGATTTTATTTATCGTTTTGAATATTAGTTGCAGATACACTATTGGAAGGAAACTCAATACAATAATTATGTACTCTTCTACTTAATAAAATCTAAAACGGCCATTTTTAGTTTATAAATTGAAACAAATCAATTCTTAAATAAATACGGTAAAAATTTTGGCATCTTTTTCTAAAACTGAATCAATAAACAATTGTAAAAACAAAAAAAATTATAATTTATTGTGTTGTTATTTCAACTTTTGTTAAATTAAATCTAAATTTAATAACTACATTGAAAAACAAAAATCATATATTTTTACCTGATAATTCTTCTCTGTTCTTAAAATAAGTTTACTAACAGTATTAATAATTGACAAATAAAGTAAGACGAGTTTGACTATTACATTACATATTAACACGTAAGAATTTTGGCAATGATGATCATAAAATTACGTGATGATGTTGAGAGTGCGATTGGAACAAACGAGACTATGTCAAGCTCTCGGCTCTAATTAAGAGGGATAACTTTTATAGTATTTTGTATCCCCAAATAATCATCATTGTCTCATTCTTTTAATATTATTATTTATTGATAAGTAATCATAAATATATAAATTAATATATAAAATAGCATAAAATATATAAATTAATACATAAAATTGACACAAAACAAATGAATTAACACATGTGAATCATATACAAATCATTTTGATATTTTATATCATGTTAATAGTTTGTTTATATATTTAGGATTAGGGTTGACACATTGTGTTTTATTATTAAGATAAAAGTAAAAAGAGCTGACAAGTATAGTTTATAAATTTCTTAAAAAGCGGTCTTTAAAGGTGACTAATAATTGACTAATGACTGAATTGCACGTAATAAAATTTAATTTTATAACAGTATGCGTTTATTATTTCTCTAAGTTATTTATTTAAAAATAATCATGTTATTCTAAGCATATTGATATAATTGAAGTGATGCATTATCCTGAATGAAAAACCATTGATGTGGACACGAGTAGCCCACTGTTATTTCATATTGTGATAGTGACAGTGATAAATTTTCAGTGTTAGCATTTCATATTTTTAGATGGTAAAATCCTAAATATTTGATAAGCAGGAAAAATATTGCCATCAATAAAAGTTCTCAGATTTTGCTCAATGCGACAACATACATTGAATCACTTGTATCTTTGTTTAATATATTTTAATTTAAGTTTTTAATATTTATTGGTATGACAGTTGAATCAAACGTTTTTGGATTATGATATCTTTGTGACTCGCTTTGTATATAAGGTTTTTGGTAGAAAATCGATTAAGTATCAGTGCAGAGTTGTGACAGTATACGGAATTTTGACAGTAAACGAACATTTAAAGTTACAGTTTAAAATTATTTAAGTACATTTTTTTGAAATACAATGATGTCAGTTACTATAAAATACAAATAGTAGAGTACGCAAAACTTTTTGTGGGAAGGGATTAAATGTTTTAATTTAATAATGTAAAACACTGTTTATAATAATAATGGGCTAATTCTGTACATTTACGATGTAGTAGCATAAGTTTAAGTTAAGGGATTTAGTAATGTATTACCCATTTTAGAAATTAACCCTATATAAATACAATGTATAGATAACAATTTTAGGGCAAATTACTTAACAAGTTATAAGCATTTTAATAGAGTGTGTATGTACTGGAGTACAAGTATTATGAAAAATGTATCATTAAATTCTTTGTATTAAGATGTTAAGGGTCGTAAAAATATACTTTAACGACACCCACCATTTTGTCCCTTGTCGCAACCACAATCCTGTAATTACGACTCTGCCCCTTTTGGCTCTGAAAAAACGGTTGTCTACTGAACATCTATATAAAGAGTTACGTTTGTTAGTTATTGTAGATAATTATTTATTTTCATATTTGATTGTTTATTTGGTAGTAATCAGTTTCATTTTATTACTACAAACTATACATATCATCTGTTGATTATAAAAATATTTTTAGCATATTATGGTGTATCATATGGTTGTTTTCGATTTTTATAATGTTACTTATATAAATTAAATTTTTATAATATATTTAACATTCTTTCGCTGATTAAATTCATTATAAAAATTGTTTTTTTATTAAAAAAAGTAAGACTATTGTGTTGCTTCTTCAAAAAATTGATTTGCCCTTTTCCGCCCCTTTAAAGAAAACATTTTGGCCTTGTGCTCAGTTTTATAATTTTGTGAACAAATTTAATAATAATAAATATTTTACTATGAAATTATCAAATTAAAAAAAATTGCTAATAATTATTGTTAATAATATATACACTAGGGTGGTCCTCAAAAATCAAGTCATTTTTTTTTTATGTCACTCTTAATGGTCAAAAAAAATGAGCTATGCTTAATTTGGGCCGATCCATTAAGGTTAACTTGTGCTCCCGAGTCTATTAAGTTGAGTTGAAGAGGCAAATTTAATAGAAATAACTGATCTATGTCACATAACTTTTTTTTTTGCTTAACTTATAACTATGAAAGTAAAACTCAAATAAAAGAAATTTTACAAGAAATTCAAGAATAATAATTTCAGTGTTGTTTTCTTAATAAATAACCAACAAAAACACTACATACATTTTTGCAGTATTTAATAAGGTGATAAATGCATTTAGGATAAAATTAAAAATATTAATTTCTTGGTTAAAATTGGAACACGAAAATAGTCACCTAACAAATAGTACAATACAAAAAAGCCTCTCGTTAAAATACAATGCGTTACATTACATTAACAATGAAAATTAGATAAGAATTGATTAGATAGTAAAAACGACCTGTTCTATGATTACACAGCTGTGTGATAATCATAAGTAACTATAGTATCTTATCATAATTATCAATATTTTTTATCACTACCGGTCTCTCACCTATATCTTAAGTCCACGTAAAAAAATTAATTTTTAACCAAAGCTATTAAAACATATTTAAACTTTTAGATGCACTGTATAAGTTAACAATATTGAAAGTTGTATTAGGATGAACAGTATTTTGTTATTATTTTTATTACCAATATCTTTTGGCTTGGATTTTATTCCTCCGCCATTACACGCACCTAGTAATCCTGAAGATCATGCTCCTTGTAAAAGTTGTCGTACAATGGTCGAGTCATTTGAAAAGGTAAAAAAAATTGTAATTCTGTATTCTGTCTATAAAATTTTTTATGGTTTTATAGGGTTTAAAAAAAACACAAACTGGCAAATATGGAGGAGGCAATACAGCATGGGAAGAAGAAAATTTACAAACATATCATAGAAGTGAACTTCGTTTTGTTGAAATTCATGACACTATGTGTCATGAAGTTATACCTGGAGCCTTACAAGATAATGTATATTATTAACGTTACAAATATTTATCTTAAAAAAAATTCTAAAATCAATAATTTAAATTATATTATTGTCTTTAGTGTTTTCACTTAGCTGAAGAATATGAACATTTACTCAAAGTGTGGTTTAACAAAAATAATAAACCAGAAGATTCTGATAAAAAAAACTTATTTAATTGGCTATGTATAAATGAATTAAAAGTGTGTTGTGAAACTGGATATTATGGACCTGAATGTAAACCTTGTAAAGGGTTAGATATCTCAAAAAGTGATGAATCTATTACTATTTGTAACAATCATGGAACCTGTAAAGTATGTTAATTGTATTTTATACTGTTAAGTTTTTTATTTTTCATTGAAGCACAATTTTTTTTAGGGTGATGGAACTCGTAAAGGTGATGGGAGTTGTAAGTGTTGGAAAGGATATCTTGGTGAATTCTGTAATCAATGTGAAGTTGGTTTTTATGAAGAAAAAATGGAAAATGGTAGTATATCTTGTATTTCTTGTGATAAAGCTTGTGGACCAAGTGGTTGTTCAGGCCCAGGATCAAAAAGTAAAACAATGACTTTGTAAAAATCTAAATTAGTTATATGAATCAATTATTATTATTATTAGATTGTAAAGATTGTAACAAAGGATGGGTTTATCTTGGAGAAGATCATGGCTGCTCTGACATCAATGAATGTTTAGAAGAACAAGATATTACTGAAAATGGTGTTAAAAGTGTTTGTGCCAGCAACGAGTTTTGTGTAAATACTGATGGTTCATATTCTTGCTTAAGTAAGATATTATTGTTTTTGAAATAAATTTTAATAGTTGCATATATTACCAAATTTAAATTAAAGTTTTAACCATTTCTATGTATCACTGTGTAAATTCAGCGAGGTTGACCAGTTGATTTCTTCTAAAATAATTATGATAAATTCTCTATACTGCAATAGTGTGCATCTCAAAAATTGACAAAATGAGATTTTTATAAATAATGATATAATAAAGATTTCTTGTAGTTTCATTGCATTGAAAAAATTACTTCTCAGCTTTGCATTAATGCTAATAAAATCTCCACTTGTATTAATACATAAAATAAAATGTGTTTTTTGATCATTCTGAAAACCTACAATAACTATTTTATTTAATGTTTCATTATAAACTACAATAAAAAATATTTATAGTTTTTTTAGTTTTAAGTTCATTCTTTATACTTATTACGAGAAACTACTATAAATTTTCAATTCATAAAATAAACTCTTTAATAACAACTTTTGAACTATTATTTTAGAATAATTGAATAGTTTTATACCAATATTGGTAAAAGTAGCACGGTTAAGAAATACCAATAGCAAAAAATAATCTTAGCATTCACTTGATCCCCAATCATTATTTAAAAGTATTTTTTCATTTACAGTAAGACTATTGTTACTGCATCAAGTCATAAATCTAAAATCATTACTTTCTCTTTTATTAAAAACAAATAATAAAAAATATAAATTTAATGTAGCCCAAAACAACAAAAAATTATTTAAAAAAAACAACCCAGCACAGGGGGATCGCGGCACAGTGGTGACGTGGCATAGTTGGAACAAGTATTATGATATCTGACAGTGATTAAAATCACTATCAAATAAAACGCTTCGATGCAAATCTTTAGATAGTGTTTAATNCAAAAAAAAACGCTTCGATGCAAATCTTTAGATAGTGTTTAATTTTAAAAAATTGGTGGATTATACCAAAAGCAACATGATCTGCTAGTTCGTTATTAATATCCTGATTCAGATAAAGTATGTCAAATGAAAAAGGGATTATTAAAAAATATTATTTCTCATAAAAAAATTATGTTGATCCATAAACTTTTCAATAAGTTATAGCATTATAAAGTTAAAATTAAAAAAATAAAATCGAGAATTTTCACACAAAAATAGCATTTGGTAGCTATTTTCACCGTGAAGACAAAATAAAGTACGAAATTTTTTTTTTGCATAATAAAGTACATTACATTAGCTTTAATTTAAGATATATATAAAAGTGTCAGACCTTCCGGAACATTTTCAAAAGTTAAGTTGAAAAAGTTAATTTTTTGTGAAAAAGTTGTCATTTTGAATCCCCCCTTGTAGACAGGCAAAAAGTCAGATTTATAAAAAAAATATACCAACTGATAGGAAAAGACATCATTTATCTATAAAATAAAAATTATATTGATCCATACATTTTTTAAAATGTTATAGCATTAGAAAGTTAAAATTATAAAAAAGAATTTTTTTACATAAATCGNAAAGTTAAAAATATAAAAAAGAATTTTTTTACATAAATCGTATTTTTTTTATTAAGTTTAATGTCTGTTTTCACCATGAAGATAAAATAAAGTCCGAAATTTTTACCATAATAAAGTATATTAAATTAGCTTTAATTTAATATATATATAAAAGTGTCAGACTTTCCGGAACACTTTCAAAAGTTACGTTGAAAAAGTTCTACTTTCTACATGCGTTTTTTAGATTTGAACCCCCCTCGTATATAAGGAAATGGTCCGATTTAAAAAAACAGTATATCAAATGAAAGATGTATATAAATACTACTCTTCATGAAAAAATTGTACTGATCCATACATTTTTCAAACAGTTATAGCATAATAAAGTTAAAAATGTAAAATACAAAATCGAAAATTTTCACACAAAAATAGCATTTGGTAGCCATTTTCACAGTGAAGATAAAATAAAGTCCGAAATTTTTTTTTTGCATAATAAAGATCATTACATTAGCTTTAATTTAAGATATATATAAAAGTGTCAGACCTTCCGGAACATTTTCAAAAGTTAAGTTGAAAAAGTTAATTTTTTGTGAAAAAGTTGTCTTTGTAAATCCTCCCCTGTGGGCAGATAAAGGGTCAGATTTACAAAAAAAATATACCAAATGATAAATAAAAACATCAAGCATCTATATAAAAAAGAATTATATTGATATTTTTGAAAAAGTTATGGTACTTTTAAGTAAAAAAAATTGAAAAAATTTCGAAGATTAGCGATTTTTAAATTTGTAATTTTTTTGGAGGTTTCCCCCCTTTACGGTGAGGGAATTTTTTTCAATTTTTGAGGGTAATGTCTTCGACTAGATACGATTTGTGATCTTTTGACGTATCGTTGAAAGAAATCCGTTCGGTGAGAGCTGAGAAAAAGTGGTAACAGACACAAAAAAAAAAA